GGGACACCAGGGATCCAACCCCGGCCCCTGCGCTCTGCCTAAGCAGACGCTTTAGTCTGCTGAGCTATGTGGCCAGCCCTTGAATGAGATTTTAGAAAGAAAAATAATAAATAATTTTTCTGATTAGTGAACACAGCTAACTCTACATAATGGCTTTTTAAAAAATTAGGAAAATGATGGACACCACAAACATCCAACATAGCAAAGAAAATTCCACTGGAAGTGAGGGCAAAATCTCAAATATAGAAGACAGGCTTGTGGCTAGCAATCAGGAGAATAAATGCTTCTTAAAAATGACAAGGGACATGGGCCAGGGAGATAGCGCAGAATAGTAAGTGCTTGCCTGGCAAGCGCAGGGTCCAGAGTTCAATCCCCAGTACCACCAAAAAGATAGCAAGGGACAATAAAAAAACCAATCCAGCAGCAGCTAGATGATACAAACAATTTAAGATTCAATGAAAGAGATAGCATAAATGGTATTTTTTTAAAAACCTGTTTACAGACATCATGGTAGAAAACTTTCCTCAAAGAGAAAAGGAATTTGACCTAGAGCCAAATGAGGCATACAGAACTCCAGTTTGCCATGATTAAAAAAAAGAAAAAAAAAAAAAAATTACAGCCAGGTATTTCAGTCAACACGCCAGAAACTCAACACAAGAGTAGATCTGTAAATGCTGTTTGGGAAAAGAAATAAGGAAATCCCATCAGAAGCACAATAGAGCCAGGCGTAGCGACACATGCCTGTAATCGCTCCAGAGGCTAAGGCAAGATCGTTAGGAATTTGAGACCAGCCTGGGCTACAAAGTGAGCTCAAGTTCAGCCTAAAATGCATAGTGAGACCCTGTCTCAAAAAGCAAATAGGGGGGCCGGGGAGATGGCTCAGTGGAATAAGCGCTTCCCTAGCAAGCACAAGGGTCTGAGTTCAATCCCCGGTTCCACAAAAACAAAAAAAAAAGTAGGGGCCGGGGAGGTGCCTCAGCAGAATAAGTACTTGCCTGGCAAGCACAAGGGCCTGAGTTCAATCCCTGGTTCTGGGGGTGGGGGAGGAAGAACTCCAGAATATCAGACTTCTTGAAACAAACCCTCACATCAAGGAAAACTTGAAGTATTTCAAGTCCCTCCCCAAAAAAACTCCAACTCAAGACTGATGTATCCTGCAAAATTATCTTTCAACACCTGCAACATTCAGAAAACTGGCAGTACCAGCATGACCTCCGAGGACGGTACTACTGGGCCTGTGAAGTCAGCCAGTCCCCCATCCCACACTGTGCAGACTCAGGGGAAGGGCTAGTGTCAGTGGATTTGAGATAGATGAAAGCTGCCTCCAGGCTAAATAATTGTTCTCTTTTCCTCTTGGCTTGTTCCTTTCACAAATCAGCACTCCCAAATGTTTTGCAGGATGAGACCTAGCAAGAGATAACAAGGAGTACACTAGATGAGCCTCAACAGAAGGAATCCACCAGGCAAGGCCAACAATTAAATAGAGGGGGTTGAAAACGAGGAGAGTCAAACAGGAAAATAACATGACAAGCGTAAGTCATGACATACAAGTTATAACCATCAGTTTTAATGGTCGCAATTCACCAATCAAGACAGACTGGCAGAATAGATCAAGAACCAAAAATATGGTGTGTACAAGAAACACATTTAGGGCTGGTGAGATGGCTCAGTGGTCTAAAGCACCTACTTAGAACAAGCTTAGCAAAGCACAGGGACAGCGGTTCAATCCCCCAGCACCACATGCCAGCCAGCCGCGCCCCCTGGTGGGCTGAGCTGGCCACACACACACACACACACACACACACACATAAACAAATGAATAAAATTAAAAAAAAAAAAGAAACACATTTAATTGAAAAAGAAATGCATAGACTGAAAGACAAAGCATGGAAAATAATACTCCCTGTGACAGGAACCCAGAAAAACACCCAGGGCAGCTATTCTATCTGTAGACAAAGTGATTTCAAGTCAAGACTGATGTGACAAAGGTCTCCACAGCCTTGTAAAGGGAACAAGCCACGAGTTTGAGAGAATAATTAAGAAACCTGGAGGCTGCTTACATCCATCTCAAACCCACCGACACTAGCCCTTCCCCTGAGCCTGCACGGCGCGTGATTGGGGGGGCACCTGCTGACTTTGCAGGACAGCACCACCCTCGAGGCCAGGCTGGTACTGCCGTTTTTCTGAACATACACCCTATGAAGACCCAGAAGGTCACTACTGGCTGCTTCGTCTTTCCCTCCCTAAGTATCTCTGGACATGCCTCAGACCACCCTCTGTGTGCACCCCAGGAATGCCTCTATTCTCTATGCTGCAAGAAATGGATTGGATGTTTGGGATTCTTATGAACTCCAAAGGACTGGGACTTGTGCAAAAAAAAAAAAAAACCTTCTGCAAAATACATCAGTTCCGGGATAAGCATACTATGCAGTAGGCAAAACAGGGCTGAGTAACAAAAATAGCACCTCTAGCATTTGCTAGCTCTTCATGCCTTAGGCAAATCAGTGAGCTTCTGAGTCTCACCATCTTCATCTGAAAAACAATCAAGGCACTAAGAAATAACACTTATGAAATACTAATGACCAACACTGGATAAAGCACTAAACACATTTCCTCAAGGTAGAGAGGGATCAGTAAATCACCTGCAGGGATCTTGAAATATCTTAAGATCTCAGAGAGGCTGGGTTCTCAGAAGATTTAGAACCTTTCAAATTCTGATTACAGAATACTGAGTACTAAAGTTGTTAGGAACTACACAGAACCAGCGATAAAAAGCGCCTAGCAATAAATGCTTAATGAGCTGCAAGTGGCTCTTCTAATTAAGAGATCTAATAACTGTCACTAGTTAATGGCCACAAAAAGATAATAAATCCACAGGAAAGTATACTTTTCAGGGCAAACAGTGGCAGTTTCCAAAATAAGCTGTTAAACCAAACCATAGGGTTTTAAAGTAAGTTTTACAAGTCAGACAAATCCATATTGTCAGATTATACTCCGGTGTGTGAAACACTTCAGCTACTTCTCATACTACTTTCAGCAAATTCCCAAGAACTCCAACCACAACAGGAACAGCCTGTTAAACAGAAATGCTTTATTTACACAAATATATACAAACTATAAACCACTAAGAAACCTAAAATCCATGTCATGACACGCAGGTGGTAATTCAACATCCAGGATGGAAAGAAGGCTTGAAGGAGACTGCAAAGGTTCTGGAAAAAAAGAGATTTCTATTACATTTCTGCAAACCCTTGAGTCACTGTATCAGCACAGACATTAGCTTTGAGCCATACATTCATGTTTTTGCCATCTAATGAATCCAATACACCCGAACCCTCTTCACACTTCTGGAAATGCAGCTGTAGTCCCAGGACTGACCTGTACCAGGAATTAAGTCTTAGGTACACCTGAATCTCTAAGAGCTAACTGTCTCATTAACAAGTTATAAATACAAGTTATCTCATTAGAACAGACAGGAAGCACACCGATGCACTTCTTGGAGGTGAGGGCAGCAGACATTTTCTATCTTATTTGCACTCCTGGGGTTGAACGCAGGCTCGGCACTGAGCTACATCACCAGCCCTTCCATCGCTTGAGTCAGAGTCATGCTAAGTGGGGCCCAGGTTGACCTCAAACTTGCAATCCTCCTGCCTCAGCCTCTTGAGTAGCTGGGATTACAAGAGTGCTCCACCATGTCCAGCTGATGGTGGCTTTTCATCATCATTTCCGACAAGGACCTCAACTGCTGGCGAGGACTGTCATTCAGCGACAGCATAAATAACCTGAGCTCGCCACGCAAGCCAACCACATATTTTGACTCACAGCCTAAGGAGTTATATGTTAAATTTAGTCTCTGTTGAACTCTATTTAAGGCTGACCAGGTCCCGGAATTACTTGCTTTTACCAAGGCATTTGGGACTAAAATACAATATTAACCACGAGTTTTTACTCCTCTGAAACTGCTCTCCTGTAGCCCACAGGAAGAAATTGCTCCTAGGCCAACCTGCCCCTCAGCTCCACCCTCACCGCCCTGGAAGTGCCGCGAAGCCGGCGCCTGCGGCCCTTACCAGGGCGTGCCTTCCTTACCAGCTTCCCATGGGGAGGACATCTTGACCGGGGAAGGGGGGCCCAGCTGCAGCAGCCTCTCCAGCCCTCTCTCCTCCTCCTCCTCCTCGAGCACCATGAGAGGCACTCCGCTCAAGGGCAGCTGTGCGATCTGGTGCTCCTCAGGCAGGTCGAAGCTCTCAAAGTCTGCCACAGAGGGAGGAAAAGCTCCTGTCAGGACAGCAATTCCCGCCACCTAAAACCCTCGGGAGAGTCGATGAGCTCAAGGCCATTTCCTAACATGATTCGTTTCTATAGTAGGTAGAGCCTTCACATTGAGCTACATAACCAGGCTTTTTATTTTTGAGACAGAGTCTTAAGGTGTCCACGCTGGATTCAAACGTTGGATCCTCCTGCCTCAGCCTCCCCAAGTGCATGAATTACAGGAAGGGCCACCAACCACACCTGGGTTCCTAATGATTTAATCCATCTTCCCACAGTGTTGACCTCAGCAATGGGGATAAAAAAACAATCGTGATGAGACTTGCTGGTGCCTTAATACAAATCGAGGTAGTGGCAATGAACAAGATCAGTAGTTACACTTCACTATTCCCTGGTAAGTAACTAAATATAACTAAATACATGCCAATGTCACGCTACCACACAACATAAGTAGTAAACTCTCCATAAAAAAAGTATGCCATAGAAAAACAATTTTAGGGGCTGGGGAGATGGCTCAGTGGAATAAGCAATTGCCTAGTAAGCATAAGGGCCTGAGTTCAATCCCTGGCTCTGCCAAAAAAAAAAAAAATATTATTCATTTGTCATCGGATAAAATTATAAAAATGGAATAAAAGCAAACTTTTTACCCCAAAAAAAAGAGAAGAATGATTTTATATCATTGATCTCTATTACTTGCACATCCATACTTGAAAACGTTGCGGAACCAATAATCAGTCCTTTGTGTCTATTATTTTCATCATAAGCAAATTATGCCTTTCAGAAATCCCATAGTTCATTACCCCTTACAGGCTCTTTAGCCAAAATTGTATCCCTTGCCTACCCACTCACAGCTAAAAGGCTAACAAAACAATTGCTTGGATTTTTAGGCTTGATATTTAAAAAAAGAGAGAAGAGTTCAGAAT